TCTAATTTTCTTTTTATTAGAAATTCAATGTAATTGACAAAATTTTATATTGAGTAAGAATGTGTTAATTAATAAAGACATAAACGAAAGGATTCATAAACCAATATTTTAAAATTTTGAATTGAGATATTAGCTACAATATCCCGACACGCTTTTTTTTGAAAAATATGCGTGTGTCCGACACGTTCCGACAAACAATCAATATTTTGGGACACGTGGTCAACTTTTCGACACGTTTTAGAGACACGTAGTCAACTTTTTTCGACATGTGGTCAACGCTCCGACACGTTTTTTTTTTAAGTCTTAATTTTATTTTATTAATTAAAAATAAAAAAATATTTATAAATTCAATTTTTTTCAATTATGAAGGTTGACATGAAAAATTAAGAAGGTACGGATTTTTTTTTTATATTTATGTTATGAAATTTGAATATTTGATTGGTTATATAATTTGTTATGGACTATTATATGTATTAAATATAAATTATATTATATATATTAAAAACATTATTTAATATCAAAACGTGTCCAAACGTGTCGAAATATGCTTTTTTTTAGAATTAACGTGTCGGTGTGTCATATCGTGTCGTGTTCCGTATTCCGTATCAGTGTCCGTGCAACATAGGATATAAGTATCAAACTCATTTTTTTTATATTATTGCTTAGGCTATTGATATGTGAATGAAGTTCCAACCGTGTAACATTCCTTTTAATCAATATATATACTACTTAATACTCCGATGACAAAATTAAGAGAAAGCGGTAAAAAAAAACAGCAACGATAATCCGCCAGATACTTGGGCTTTTTATGCCTTTCGTTTGGGCCGCCAGATACTGCCAGTTTTAATTGATTGGGTATGGACTAGAGGGAACGGACCCGTGTTGAGCTTCAAGACCCGCTACAACAGGCCTTAACATCGTCCTTGTATAAACAATACATTTAACTATCTTTAAAAAACAAATGCTAGCAGGCAGCTAGTGTTCTAGCATGCCATAGCCAGAACTATTGGTAAGTAAATAGATAAATTGAATCAAACTGTTAAATAGAATTGAACTGAACTAAAAAGATGAAGAAATAGACCCAGTTTAAATTTTTTTTATAAATTCCACATACTTTTATATATGTATAGGAGATAAATTTATCTCCTACAACATAAGAAACATTAAACTTCATTTATAATTTATGAATAACTTTGTTTAATTTTTTATTAGTGTTTTCACGAAATTGAAAAAAAAAATTGCAAGACACAACAAATCAACAAATATAATCAATCATAACTGATATATTTGATTATAATTATTAATTTTCGCCATGGGTCAGTTACGTTTAAAATTTTTTTGTTTACAACTCTTACAATCTCAACTATGCACTTGAGGGAGTACATATACTTGAGAATGTACTCCCCGCAATACATAATTAAGGTTGTAATAATTGTAAACAAAAAAAAATTATAAATGTAACCTTTTCCTTTTGGCCATTCTTATAGTAACAACGATAGGATCAATAAAACTACATCTCCAATTTTTATTTCCTAAAAAAAAAATTGTCTATACAATTGTTTATAAATTTGACGATACACTATTTGCTGAAAGTATAATGTTTATTTTCTTTCTTGAGAATATTCTTGAACTGTAGTGCAGATAGTTTTTCATATCTCTTAAGGAGCATTTGATAGAGGAGAAGCTTTTTTTTTACTGAAAAATAATAACTTAGGGAAATATGATGAGAAATTTTTTTCTCAAATAAATTACTAAAAGATGTTTGGTAGGGCAAATTCTTTTTGAAAATATTAGATTAATTTTACTGATGCTAGGAGATAATTTTTCCACTGCATGGAAAAAAAATTTCACCTCATCAATGGCAATCTTCCATGAAAATTCTATGTGCAAAAGTAAATGATGGGAAAAACAATTTCCCAGCCTTATTTTTACTCTTCCTCCCGCCAAACAAGGGCAAGTGTCCCTACCCCATTTTTTTGAAAAAAAAAAATTTCACCTCCTACCAAACATTCCTTAAGCTTTGTTTGGGAGTTTGGAGGGAAAGGTAAGGAAGGAGGATCCAAAGAAGAGAGAGAGAAAATGAAATGAAGAGTATTCTCTTTTCTTGTTTGAGAGTTAAAAATATGGTGAGGAAGAAAAATGGAGTTAATGAGATATTTTTACAATTTTACCTTTTTAAAAATTTAATATAATTATTATACTTTACAAATAAAATATAATTTATAATTTATAAAAAAATTAATTATATAATTTTCATATTTAAAAAATATTCTCTCTCTAAAAATTATTTTATGGAATTTTTTTCGTCAAAATTTTTCGACGAAATTAATTTATGTCAAAAACTTTCAATAGGATATTTTCGACCAAAAATTTTTGACGGAATTATTTCTGTCAAAAGTTTGTTGATTCCGTTGAAAAAAGATAGCCAAAAATACTATATAGTTAATGAATTCTATTGAAAATTTTGACAAAATATATTTTCGTCAAAAAGTTTCGTTGAAATTTTCGACGAAAAATCAATGAAATTTGATAGAAGCCATTGTAAAGATTTTCAACAAAATAAGTATTGTCTTAAATGTTTGACGAAAAACCAATAAAATTTCGTCGAAAACTGTTGTAATGATTTTCGACGTAAAATAAATTCTGTCAAAAAATTCCATGCAGATTGATGACATAGGGTAAGGTTTCACATGGATTGATGACATGCTTTTTTTTTTTGAAATTTTCAACTGAATTTAGTTTTTGTCAAGAAATTTGAGAAAAATGATCCTAAATATTTTTGACAGAAAAAAGAATTTTGTCAAAATTTTTGACAAAAATATTTTCCGTCAAAAATTTGGACAAAAATTTTTTCGTCGAAATTTCGACGTAATTTAGTTTATGTCAAGAATTTTGACAGATTTTTGTTGTTGTTGAAAATTTATGTCAGTGATTATGACTAAATCTTGTTCCGTATCTAATTTCGTCTTTAGTTTCGATGGAAATTTTTCATATCTATTTTCGACAAAATATGATTTTCGTCAAAAATGCCATCATTATTTTTGATGAAATATTTTTCGTCGATAAATTCCGTTAGCAATCGGGACTTTTCAAGTAATGTCACATTTTAAAAATGATTCACGTTTATGTAGTTTTCATATTTTAATGCTAAGAGTAGATAATTAATTTCTAATATTTTTCCCCTCAAACCCTCAAATTGGAGAAAATTTTAATTTTAAGGGTGAGAAGGATTTTGGAGGATTTTACAAAAATTTCCAATTCTCTTTCTCCATTTTTTTAAACTTAGAAATAAGGAGATGTATAAATAAAACCCTTTTTTTTTTCTTTCCTTTCCTAAAAGTGGCTCACAAACAAGTTCGTAGAGTGCAAGCGATTACCGTTTACGAAAAATAAGAAAAGTAAATTGTCATATCTTAAATTGTTGATTTTTTCGTTAATGGTTACTAGTTTTGTGTTTTAAAGTTCATCTTCTATTATAGGAGCCTAGATCCATTTTGAAGAAGATTGGGGCTAGATCGCAGGATTATTTCTCTTTCTATATATCAACAACACTTGGGCCTAACTCATCTTATGTTTTATTTTTTGGGCCTACAACTCTTTAGCTAATGCTAATACACCGTGTGACCTTAAAAGAGAAATCTGATGTCCGCTTGTCAAATAATTATGAAAAATTAAATAATTACGTCATTCTGTGCATATGGCTAATTACTATCCCTAGTCTTTTTTGTTTTGTTTTTAATATTGTAAATTCTGATAAAGCCGTCAAAACCTTACGTAATTTTGATGTATTAAGGGGTTCTGCTGTATAATTTTATATTATACGATGGTCACACCAAATAACTGAAAATATCATAATGTATAGTATAAGTTTATACTATCAAACCTTATACATCACACCAAACATACCTAAGTTTGAAACATTCATTCCATGCTTAACTTAGAGCCCGTTTGTTTCCCCTTTAAAAAAATAGCTTTTATTTCTTCTTTATTTTAGAAGTTCTTTTTACAAAAATCAGAGTTATTTATATTTTTATAAAAATATTTAGTTTTTGGAAAAAATATCTGACTTTTGACTTCTGTTTTTTTTAGAAGTTAAAATTTTTAACTTATAAAAAAAGTAGATTTTTTGACTTTTTTGTGATTTCTGTTTTTTTTTAAACAAACATCCAAACGAACTTAAAGTGAGAAGTGCTTTTTTTTTTCTTAAAAAAAACAGTTTTTGGAGAGAAAAAAAGCCATCCAAACATTTTGGTTATAATACCAACTTGATTCAACAACCAATTTTTTTGGGTGGATTAGAAACTGCTAAGTGGAAATCCAAAACACTTTTTATTTCTATTATCTTATTTTTCTTTTCTTTTCAAATTTTCTTTTGTATCTCTTGCTGCTCATAAAAATGTAATCTTGATTGTTTCATCAACAGGCAACAGATTCTTATCCAATGAATATGTTTGGGTTTAGTTGTTTCTTTTAGAATGATTGATTGGGCCAGTACAATTTTTTGGTTTGATTAGCAGCAGCTCCAATTGAAATTTATGTTTGTATCACATGGGATCTTTTCTTGAATTGTAAAAATCTTATCTTGTGATATACTATTGTGCCATCATCCACTTATTTTCTTTTTATTATATAATACTTTCTTAACTTCGAAAATATAAATTTGGTCAAGAAAAAGTTTCCGGTGATTATCTTATATGTGAATAGAAATGTAGGTCCTCTTATGCGCATGAAAGAATCTGGATATTTACAATCCTGTGAACTATCTTCTTGATTGAAGAATTTAGAATCGGTATGTATAACTTTCTTCTCTTAGTGGGATATCCTTGATAAACTCTTTGTATATAATTAGTTAGGATTATTATTACATAAACCAAATCAAGTTTGACTTATGCTTACAAAGAAATCGAGCTTATTTTTAACTCAAATTTAACTTGCTTCAAAGCTTATGAATGGTGGGAGCTCAATGAATTAATATCAAAATTGTATAATTAAATTCTCAAAATCATCCTTGAAATAATAAGAGAAAATAATGACAGGAAATCACTAAATGACCCCTCAAACATAGGGGAAACGACGGAGCCACGTTGAGACCAGTGTATGCCTTGGCATATTTTCGAATTTTCGAACACTTATATGAGGCTGCATCACCTGAAAAAATCATGAGAAATAATAGCATATAATGAGAAGATACGGACTAAAATTTGAAGGGATAGCATATAATGAGAAGACACGGACTAAATAAATTTTCTGGCTCCGCCACTGCGAAAGGAAAGTAAACAAAAATAAAATGAAAGAAATCAAAGATTGCTAAAACTCACTTCATATTATATTATTTCACAGCCTATCATGGTCTTACATGCATTGCACACCAACTTCAGCAGCTCGATGAGGTTTGCTTTTGCGCCTGCTTCTATTGTGCCGAAATCCATTATCAGACTTTGTCACCTCATGAATGTTTACACCATTTTTCTCTTCAGCTGACTCTAATTTCTCTTTCACTTGTGAATTTCCTTTTCTTTTTCTTCCATGTTTTGTTGTATTGGGACTTTTCATCTCATGACTAGAGACTCCATTTTCAACTTTGTCACCGTCATCTTCTATCTTTATAACAACTTCTTCATCAAAGTCATCCTTCAACAGTTTTTGTGGTCTTCCTCTTCTCTTCTGCATAGGACCTTTTTCATCCTTACCATTCAAAGGATCCTCATCATTGGTAACAGTTAACTTTTTAATTTTTCCTCTGCCTCTACCCATTCCAAAAAAATATGACCATGCAAACTAGTATTTCTGCTAGAAAAAAATAAAACAAATAACAAAATATAAAATATAGAGTCAAATTTTTTTTCACATTATTTGACATTTACAAACTAGAGGAAGGATATTCTTACTACTAAAATCTTCTATTATCAACTCATTACCTATCTAATCACCATTGGATCAACATTTTCTCTTTTTTCAAAAACTTTTTAGCATTCTCTCTCTTTGATTCAATGGTGATTAGATAGGTAGTAAGTTAGTAGTAGAAAATTTTGGTAGTAAGAATATCCTTACAAACTATGCTTTTGAAATTTATTCATTTTATTCTCACCAAAAACTAAAAACAAAATATACTTATCCTATAAAATTAAGAAAAACATTGTTTCTAATGGGGAAAAAAAATTATTGTTTACATGGAAAGACAAAAAGATTTATAGCTCAATCGAAGCTTAGGTTAGTTTTAAAAATAGCCGAAGGCAAGATTGGAATTCCTTAACTTGGGAAAATTACTTTAGGGCATAGAGGAATTGATTATTCTAAGGAAAAGTAAATCAATCAATAAAACATCAATAAGCTAGGCTTCCAATTCAAAAGAGAGTTTCTTTATAAGATCTAAAATAAAGAGAAAGTGAAAAAAAAGTACTGCGTTTGCAGAATTGATAATAATCAAAACCATTGAAGTCAATTTAAGCTTTAAAAGCCATAAACGGAAAAGCTAACACAAATAAAACGCTTATTCTAATGGAAAAAAGATACTTACCACAGGTCGTTTTGCATCACTCTGGCATGACATTCAATAAATGGAATCTGCTAAAGTGCTGAGAAGAACTAGAGAAAGAAGCAAAAGGCTCATAGTTATATTCCACAAGCAATGAGATTCGAACCGTAAAAAACAGGAGATTTGAAAAGGAAAGAACTATGTTATTGGGAAAGAATGAGAAATACCTCGATGATGAAACATTGAGTGTGATGGAGTATTATTGGGGTTATGACGAAGAGATTCCACAGTAACAGTATGTCTTCTAAGAACAACCAGCCAAATGAAACAGAGGAAGAGAGAAAGAGAAGGATTTGTCCATTGCCTGTTTCTCTAGTCTAATTATATATATATATATATATATATATATATATATATATATATATATATATAATGGTTTTTTTATTTATTTAAGGGTTTAAAGTTTCTATTACGGGGTCGCGGAGAATTTTTTTTTCTTTATTCCGGAATCATATTGGAATATGATGAAAAAATTATCTAGTAAGTCAAAATATTTTCAGAAATATTGGATTAATTTTTTTAATATTATGTTTAGTTATTTTTATCTAAAAAATTAATCCATATTTTCTCATCATCTATATTCCTGAAATATCATCCTCTGGATGGTATTTTAGTTTAGAAAATGTACAATATACACAAAATGAAATCATGGGAAAATAACTTTCCTCAGAAAAAAAAAATTCAATATGCTATCAAAACATAGGATTTTAGGAAATTCACCCTTACTTTCTCATGCATCTAAAGATAATTCTCATACACCCTACCCATAAAAATGCATAAGACCCATGTGAGGTGAGGTGAGGAGAAAAGAGAGAAATTAACCTTTTATATTTTTATATGTGTTTAAAAAATAAAATTATCCCTTACTACTTAAAAAACTTAAAACCCTTTATATAATTAACATGTCTATAATGCCTTGTTTGAATACTGTTTTTAAAAATAGTTTTTTAATTTTCAGAACAAAAAATTCATTTGATAAGTCTGTTTTATAGAAAAATATTTTAAAAATTATAACTGTTTTTTTATTTTTAGAATCAAATTTAAACAACATGTTTTGGTTGTTTTTGTTTTACGCTTTGACTTTTAACTTTCAAAACAATAAAAAAAAAACACATATTTTTATAACTATTCTACAAAATATTTTTAAGAACAAAAAAAATAGAACACAATCAAGAAGATCCTTTTATGATTTTTAATGTATAAAATCTCCATCTTGTTCCTATACATTTATTCAATTACTAACATAATTAGACTAGTATTTAATATTAATTGTTCAATAGCAATTATGCTAGGAAAAAGGTTAAATATCGTTAAAAAAGAATCACAAGACTGCAAAATCATAAAAAGCAAAATATCCTAATTAAAAATTAGAAAATTACATGATCAGTATCATTAACTTAATGGGAATTTAATTACGTTAATTACTATTAAAAAGCCATATAATATTAATACACATCGAAGTGTTCTTTCATAATATCAAAATTAAATTTTAAATATATTATGACAATTCAGACAGAAACAGATTAATATATAATTTAGTGTATTATACCGTGTGTGCGCGTCTGTCCAGTTTGGTATTTCGAGTGAGAGGCGTGTTTGTGTACAACTTATGCTAGGGTGGATCTTGTAAAGCTGAATAAATGTCAAACTCCAAAATGCAGAGTGCATGGCATGTCTCCCAATGACCAGACCTAAACCTTGATGGTTGAAAAATGAGACATTCTCTTCATTAAGCTATGAGGCGAGCCATTAGGGGACAAAGTTCATTGCAATGTATTACTATTTTTTTTTTTATACGTTACCAAAAAAAGGAATAATAAAAAATGAAATTTGATTTTGATTGATGTTCGGATATATTGTCAAAGAGGCGAATAAATAGATTCATCGCTCCATTTTCATTCCAATCGATTCAAGAATTGTTGAGATATATAGTCTCACATTGATTGGATGGGCAACTAATATGGTCTCTATAAGGCCTTGGGCACTCCCACCTCTTGAGCTAGCTTTTAGGGTGGTGTATTCCAAGGTTCTTTACATGGTATCAGAGCCTCACCGTCCCCCGCTTTAAAAAGTGGAATTAAAATATAAAAAAAGCACAAAAAGGTAAACCAAAAATGGGCCTGTGCAATTTTCACGCTTCTAGCCTAAAGGGCTCTTGCGTGAGGGGACGTGTTGAGATATATAGTCCCACATTGATTGGATGAGCAACTAATATGGCCTTTATAAGGCCTTGAACACTCTCACCCTTTGAGCTAGCTTTTGGGATGGTGTATCCCAAGGTTCTTCACACTATTAGTATTATGTGTAGAGTACGATTCAGAATTCTTTTGCTTAAAACACACGAATATTTGAGGTTACGTGACTTCTTTATTTTTAATCTTAATCGAAATTATAATGTTTTTTTTTTATAATCTTTAATTTCATCGAGATTTTTTTTTTTTTTTTTTATAGAAATCGAGAATTTTGAATATAGTACCATGTTTTTAAAACTTTGTGCACTACAATCACCTGTGTTGCACCGACACGGGACACGAGATATGACACGACACGCCGACACGTTAACTTTAAAAAATGTTCATATTTCGAACGTTAGGACATGTTCTGATATTAAATAATATTTATATATATATATTATGATTTATATTTAGTACATATAACAGTCCATAATAAATTATATAGTCGTTCAAATATTCAAATTTCATAACATAAATATAAAGCAAAAGTAATTTTTCATATCTTGTTAATTTTTTATGTCAAATTTCATAATATAAGAAAAATAGACTTATAAATTAATTTTTTATTTTTAGTTAATAAAATAAAATTTAGACTTAAAAAAAAACTTATCGGATGCGTGTTGATTACGGTCAAAAAAAGTTGATCGCTTATCGAAAATATGTATCAAAACATGTCGGAGCGTTGACCATATGTCCTAAAACATTAACCACATGTCAAACTTACTTGTGTCGGAGCGTGTCAGTGTCTGACACGTGTCCGACATTCAAATTGTTTTTCAAAAAGGGTGTCAGTGCTTTCTTGACAATTACCACTGAAATAATTTTTTAATTATGATTTTATTATAAAAAAATTTAGTAAACCAATATATTTACTCGATCATTTACTAAACTCGTGATTGAACCCGCGTGATGGACGGATTCTATTAAAGGAACTAATATAAAAATATATATGATTTTATAACGTAATGACAAATTAATGGGATGAATCACTTGGCAAATAAATGAATAACTAGTTTTAACGCGACTTATTTTGTGGATGAAAGCTAACATACACACAAAGGCTGATAATGACGGTTACCGCCTTCCAGCCTGGGTACAAAGAACCTCTTTTTCTATGACAAATTTTCAAATGACTCACTTTTTTTAAGACTTTCTTCAAACATTGCATCTATTAGTCCAATATCACGTGTTATAATGTTACGGGTTCAATGTTTCGACCACAACCAGCAGAACCGAGTAGAGAATAGGCGCAGAAGGGAATAATGTTATTGGTCATCTTGAAACCAATTAGTCTGTGAGTCCTAGAAACTCAAGACCTTGAGAGGAACAAACCTATAAATATTGCCCATTGATTTTTTTATTGGGGTATGTTTTTCTTATATTACATGAGATAACATATCTCTCCTACTTATACATCAAAAGTTATACTAACATTTATTTATTTATTTTTTTACTTTTTTTTAAAAGAGTGAACCTTACATGCTTTGTGTCTATGACATGAAATAACAAGTCTTCTACAACATGAGACTTGCATTCCCCTTATTTATTATTACTATGCCTTTTATTAATGCAAATGGATTTTATGGCAATCATTTTTGTTATTACGTACTCGATTAGTTTGATAATCTATCTATATATATTTGCTAATCATTAATTCCCTCGTCATTAACCAATATACATGAAAGATATAAAATCTCATGCACCGGAGAAGCATTTTTCATTTAGCAATATCGCATCACTTCATCAAGTTAATTAATTAGAAGGATTTCTAGTGATTATATATAACAGAAGTTGCTGTCATTCGCAGCTTGATGATATATCAAATTGGGTCTATTATATAGACCAAGATTTACAATTGGTTACATCAGGAAATCAGCTAAACTTAAGGAACAGAAAGCATAAATCAAGCTAATCTATTTACATCAGGAAATCAGCTAAACTTAAGGAACAGAAAGCATAAATCAAGCTAATCTATTTACATCAGGAAATCAGCTAAAACTAAGGAACAGAAAGCATAAATCAAGCTAATCTATTTTAATATACAAGGTAACAAACCGTGATAGTTACAATCAGGATCCTAACAAATTAATGCTACTCTAATACTCCCCCTCAAGGTGGAGCATGGAGGGAGGAGATGCCCAACTTGGAAGTCAAAAAATCGAATTGTTTGGATCCAAGTGCTTTGGTCATAATATCTGCGGGTTGAGAACTAGTGGGGATATGTTGAGTAGAAATAGTCTTGCTGAGAAGATAGTCCCGAACAAAATGGCAATCTAACTCGATATGCTTGGTACGCTCATGGAACACTGGATTAGAAGCAATATGAATAGCAGACTGACTGTCACAAAACAGTTGCATAGGGGCTGCATGAGGAATATCAAGAGAGCTGAGAAAAGACTTTAACCAAATAAGCTCAGAAGTCGCAGCTGCCATGGCACGGTATTCAGCTTCAGCAGAGGAGCGGGATATTGTGTTTTGCTTCTTGGTTTTCCAAGAAATAGGAGAATGTCCAAGAGTAACAAAATAACCAGTGACTGATTTTCGAGTCAAGGGACAACTAGCCCAATCCGAATCACAATAGGCACGAAGAAGAAGATCACTGTCAGATCGAAGAAGGAGTCCTTGGCCAGGATTGGACTTAATGTACCGAAGAACACGAATAGCCGCATCGTAATGTATCTGCATAGGATGCTGCAAAAACTGAGAAAGTGTGTGAACTGCATAACTAAGTTCTGGTCGTGTAATCGTGAGATATACAAGACGGCCAACAATACGTCTATAACGTTTAGGATCATCAAACGGAGGTCCTTCAGCAAGAGCAAGCTTGTGATTGGGATCCATAGGATAAGCAACCGGTTTACAACTTTGAAGTCCACATTCCTTAAGAATATCCAAAGCAAATTTGCGTTGAGTAAGAAACAAACCGGTCTTGCTTCGAGCAAATTCAATGCCAAGAAAATACTTGAGGGGACCAAGATCTTTGATTTTAAACCAGGTTTGTAAATGAGCTTTGACACGGTCACAGAGAGAAGGATCACTACCTGCCAACAAAATATCATCTACATAGA